TTTACGTGAGAGTTACCTCACTGAAATAAAGACTTCCATTCATAAAACCAGGAGGTGAGTCAGGTTGCGCTGAGTGATGGGCTTTTCTAAACATCTAGGAGATTAAATGCAGTCCCCCAGTGCATGGCCCATGTTTCAACTGAGTCCTTCACTGCTCACGTGGGCAAACTACCAATCTGTTTGGCACACAACTTGATCCCAGAACAGGGTGCTGCGGGACTGGGCCCAAACATTTCAGAAATCCCAAAGATTTCAGAAAATATTGGCAAACAGGAAATAAATCTCTCACTGATTAATTTATACACTTGGTTCCAGTGGAAACCTTGGATATACAAAGTCAATTGGGTGAGAGGGCCTAAGTCAACTATTTCTTTACCAGTTCTAATCCTTACATGTGGGTGTTTTTTTTTTCCCCCCTCTGTTTGCTTAAGATAAGCATATAAATACTCTCATCCCAACTCAGACACCCTTATCTATCTCAGTAAGCACTTTGCTGAGATCCTAAAGTCTCCAGTGGCATCTCAGAAGTTAGCATGGCCTGGGTGGGGGCCCATGGAGGGCCAATCCCCTCAACAAGGACAGCACTGTTTTGGCCTTTGTCCTTGCACAGCTCTTCCCAGTGTGACAGGAACACATGGTACCTGCTCACCAGTGCCAGAAGAGTGACCAGAAACTTCCCTGCCCTTTCTTTGTGGAGGAATGTATTCCAGGAGAGCATGAAATGCACAATGAGGTGAAGAGAGGGAAGGTGAAACTGAGAGAGGGGCATCCAGAGGCCTCAAGAGGTAAAAAGGGCTTCATTTGCAGGGTGCCAAGCCTGTGTTCCTGTGTCTGCTAATAAAATAATTTGAATAAAATAGCATCTTATGAAGCCGAGACTTTCTACAGTATGTAGTGATTTAAGGCAGGTAAGGACTGGGTGAGCCACACCGCTTTATATCTATGCACATACACTAAATTTAGGAAGATATATTCACTCTTCCTGGCTTACGTGGAATATGCCCCTTCATCCCCACTTCTGATTTTACTGAATGTTTTATTGTTAGTTTTTCTTTCTTTACTAGCAGGGAAGCAAACTGGTATGTTTTAAAATTTCTCTAACTGTTGTCAGTATTAACTTCCTGAGGATTTTAGCCTGTTCGCAGAGATTCAGTAAAATGAAGATTTTTTTTAGGTCAACATTTTCTTCTGGCAGACTGAGCCTGAAGTGCACTTTATTTCCCTTTAATTTAACAGCTCCAGCAGCTTTTCCAGTTAAATCGACTGTTCATTATTGAGCCCATTTATGAAGGGCTGTGCAGTGCAGTTTAATGAATCCCTGGCACAAAGCTCCCTTTCAGTGTAGGGAAAGAATAGCAGCCTATTTAGGTCCTGTAGGGCTGTATGTCAAAGGCTGCCTATAATACTTGTCAGGGAAGGGCAGAAATTCCCACTGATATAAGAATGTGCAAGAAATCAACTTGCACAACCAACTCGCAGATTAAGACACGATCAGGAAATGAGACTGTAGGTTTCGGATAGTGACACCTGTTTGGGAAGCGAGACTTTCCCATAACTTCATAACCATACGGGCCTGTACAACCAAGCAGGAAAAAAAGTCCTCCTTCCCCTGCCACAGAGATGGTCCTGCTTTCATGCTGCCTTACCAATGCTGCGGTGAAGGGAAAAGGAGCACTGGAGATCAGGGGCTTGGTTTGCCTTCCCCCAGGGAGGGTTTGGCTGGTGACGGGGTGAAGCAGGGGTTGTTCCTTGCCCATGTTCTTGGCATGAGATGTTTCCTTCAGGCTGGATCTCACACCTATCCCTGTGTTGTGGTGGATTTACTCTGGGTTTGGACCCCGAGGTGGTGCCATGAGCATTGGGAGGGCACTGCTTCTGCAAGTGCCTCCAGTGCAGAGCTGACACTGTAATGCTGGGCAAGGCTTGCTTGCTTGCTAACGCCTCTGCTGCCTAAGACAATCTCTCTTTTCTGGCCCACTCAGCCCATAGGGATAACAAATTGTTCTCCTCACTAAAGGCTTGATTTTGTGGCTAAGAGCTGGATTTGTGGGCTGTGCAACGCCTGAGCCAGTGAGCATTGTATGACCCTGCTCCCTTCAGTTCAGGCTGAGAATGTGTCACTATGGGAGCCAGGTCTGCTGCCTGTAAAGCCTTGGTTTAATTCTCAAAGCCTCTCAAGATGCTGCTGCTACCTATGTGAGGATGAACAAGTAATCAGAACAAGACAGATACATCTCCTATGTGAAAGAGGGCAAGAAAACAGCAGTGGAGCCCCTTACTGAGCACTGAATGCTTCCCAGTAGGATAGAGGTGTGGGCTGGGGGACTGCAGCCAGTTCACTCCCCCAGGAGCGAGCGGAGGGACCTGGACATCTGGTCCAAGCATTTCCATGTCTAATCCCAGCCCACAGAGGAAGCTTCAGTGCTTGCCACCATGCTCAGGCTGAGCAGCGCAATCCTGAGCAAGCGCAGGCAGAAGACAAGCATTGGCTCATATGGCTGAAGGGCAAAAGAGACGTTTTGCAGGAATAACCAAACGGCTATTTCCTTGGAAAAAAATTAGGCTTCTTTGCAAGTTGTTGACATCATGTGGCTTAGCAAATTTCCCTCCAGGCATTGCCCAACTTGGGGTAATCAGCTCTGCTTGAGAGAACACAGAGAATAAGCATGTTTAATGCAATTATGAAAGCTTTCTAAATCTCCAGATCTGGTCTAGAATATGTAAATTTGGCCGCTTAGCACGAATGAATGCAAAGTTTGCTTTGCATGCCTGACAATTGTTTTAATACTCTCCAATTTTTAGGAGGTAATAAAGTCTCCCACTAAACCGTATCTGAGCTCTCAAAGCTGTTTAATTGAATGAATTCAGCTTTACAGAAGACAAGCCAGGGCTTTCAGCTTCTTTCTCTAAGCCACCGGATATTTAGCCACTCTGCATATAATACCACCCAGCCTCATTAGCAACCCCCTTTAGAGCTGCTATGAAATATCGTTGCTGTAATGCCGAAGCAGCTAAAAACTTGAGGACAACCCCACTGCTGCTGTTACTGTGTTGGCTCACATTGGCCAGATGGCCCCAAACTGGGGAGATAGAGATGCCTGTTTTCCAGGTCCTTGTGCAATTTGGAGCAGCCTCAAAGTGGATGTAAAACTATGCAGTGGAGAAGGCAGGGGATGTATATGTTGTTCTTTACATTTCCCCATCAATAAGGGAGCTCAGAGCAGGCTGCAAAGCTTGACAGGGCTTGACAGGACCCGAGGGCAGCTAATCCGTGTCGGTTGTACTCCAGCTAAGCAGTTTAAATCCACCCCTTATGTAGACATTCTTATATGTAGAGATATATAGATTTCCCATAGCTCTCTATATGATTTTTTTTTTTTGCTTCAATTACACAGTTGCACTCAGGGCAACTCCCCTCAAAAAGAGGCTCAGGGAGGCTCCTGCAGAACATGGAGCCGGCTTTGTGAGCCTGTCCCAGATGCGCTGCTGCTGAGACCTGCTGAGATGTGGCCAATACCCAACACAGAGCTCCCAGATGTGTTTGCATGGCCAGAAACTCAGTATGAGCCCATGCTTTGGGAAAGAGCTGCTGCTGATGCTGGGCTGCTCCTCCTCTGAAGCAGAGATGGATCCTTCCCATGAGAAGATTTCAGTTGCAGCCAAACATTACCACCAAGCTAGGACTGGACCTTTGGAAATAATCTGAGTGTTTTCAGTCAGCTCAGAAACTCGCTGTGAGCAAGGTCTGCTGCTGCGAGGCACTGCGTGAGAGACTGAGAAAATCGGCATTTTTGTTTTGTAGAGGATATTGAGCCTTTTTTTCTCACATGAAATATGTGTTTTCCCCTCTTTTCTCATTCCAATGCTTGTTTGTTTTGCATTCAATCAGTGTTTGAAATAACAGTGGGGTGAATTTGGCTGATTTTTTCTTTTCACCACTAAGTACATTCTGAGGAAGCAGCCTGCTTCCCTTTTCTTCCACAAAGTTTTGCTTTCTGGTTTGTCCTTCCTACTGTGTTTCTAATGAATTGGTGCATCCCAAGAAAACTCACTTCATTTCAGTCAAAATCAGATATGTGTCTTTGTTCATATTTGGACATACAAAATCACTAAAGATAAATCTGTACCTCACAGGGTATGATGCTATTCTGCATCATTAAATATACATGTGCAATTTTCTAAAGGTAAAAGTTTTTTTTTTTTTTTTTTTTTTTCTCCATGTACCTGGAATATGAAAGATTTATAGGGCTGTCTCACTAAGCACTTGGAATGACAAAATTTCCTGAGTTGTCAGGGACCCACAAGGGTCATCGACTCCACCTCCTGGCTCCACACAGGACTACCTAAGAATCAAAGCATGCGCCTGAGAGCATTGCCCAAACGCTTCTTGAAGCATACATAAATAAGCAGTTGTTAAAATCTCTCCCGAATCACACCGCTGGATTATCCCAAGACAAGTGCATAACTATGCTTGGAAGAAAACTCACTGCAAACTAATTCAGGCTGGCGCCGTGCCCTCGTCCCGCCTGGTGCCACAGCCGGAGTGCATCTCCAGACCCTGACGGACAGTGCCGGGCGCGATCCCACATTTTGTGCCAGCGGGGCCGTGGCTGCAGGAGTGGGGACGGTGCTTGGGGTGGTGACATGCTAGTGATGGGCATCCCAGAGCTGGCCCGGAGGGGGTGGTCTGGGGGATGCTGTGTGACCTGGCGGTGCTGTGCTGCTGGCCCGGGGAGGGCTTTGTGATCTGGGGGTGCCGTGTACATACTTTGGGGGGGTGTTTGTGATCTGTGTACCCGGGGGGGGGGGGAGGGGGGCAGCGATGCACCTGTCCAGGAGCTGACGCCCTTGTTCCCACCCCGCCGCCGCTGTCCCCGGCCGGGAGCGCGCAGCCCGGCCCGGCTCCCGTGCTCACAGCGGGGAGGCGGGGAGGGTCCGGGGCCAGCCCCGCGCCTGAGCCCTCCTTCTCCTCCTGCTCCTCCACCTCCTCCGCCTCCTCCTCCTCCTCCTCCCCCGGCCGCCGCCTTTTCCCCGCCGCCGCCGCCCGCAGCCCGGCGCTGCCCTGCGGAGCTCGGCGCGGCGGCGCCCCGCGGCCGGCCATGGCCGTGCCAGCCGCCCTGCTCAGCCCCCACCACCACCTCCTCTCCTTCTGCTTCCCCGCCGGCGGCCTGCTGGGCTATGCCGACCTGGAGAAGGGCTACGAGGGCGGAGGAGGAGGAGGAGGAGGTGGCGGCGGCGGCGGCGGCGGCGAGGCGGGGGACTTTAAGGAAGCCACCCGGGACCTGCTGAGCTTCATCGACTCGGCCTCCAGCAACATCAAGCTGGCGCTGGACAAGCCGGTGAAGTCGAAGAGGAAGGTGAACCACAGGAAATACCTGCAGAAGCAGATCAAGCGTTGCACCGGCATCATCGCCGCCGCCGCCCCGCCGCCCTCCTCCTCCTCCTCCTCCTCCTCCCCGGCCGCCGCCGCTTGCCCGGCCAAGCAGCCGCCGCCACCTCGCCGGGAAGCCTCGACGGCGGCCAGCAGCCTCCAGAGCAAGAGCCTGGCGGCCCTTTTCGGCTCCCTGCAGCCGGGAAGGGGCTCGGCGAGCGGCTGCGGGGCGGCGGGAGGAGGAGGAGGAGGAAGCAGCGGAGGGTCGGCGGCTGCGGGTGGCCCTCGGAAGGTGCCTCTGCGGGCCCGCAACCTGCCGCCCTCCTTCTTCACCGAGCCGGCTCTGCCGCCCCGCGGGCCTCCGCCGGCCTCCAAGGAGACGGAGAAAGGCGGTGGGGCGGAGGCAGCCGAGTTTTTTGAGCTGCTGGGCCCCGACTACGGAGCGCTGCTGCCTGAGCACGCCGCCCCGCAGGACGCCTTCCCCGCCGCCCGCCTGCCCGCCGAGCTGGGGCTGGAGCACGGCCTCTACGAGGCTCCGCTGCCTTCGCTGCCCGCCGCCCACCACCCGCTGTTGGGTGGGCTGCTGTATCCCGAGCCGCCCTGGAGCCCGGCCGGGCCCTGCAGCCCCCCAAAAAAATCTCCTCCCGAGGCGCTACGCCCGCTCTACTCCGGTGGAGCGGAGTCCGGCAGCGAGACCTTCGGCTCCTTCTTCCCTGAGTGCCCCTTGGCCCCGCCACAGGTGCCCTACGACTACAGCACCGGCTACCACCGGGCCACCTACTCCGGCCTGTAGGGCAAGGCTGGTGGGCTTGGCCCCCTGGGCCTCGAACACGGACCGTAACGCAGGGGGAAGGAGGGAGCGGGCGAGCCCACCTCCCATGGGGTGGCTGAGTCCTGGGTGAGGGCTCAGGATGGGACCCAGTGGATGCTCACGGTGGTGAGGGAAGAGTTGGGTTCCACCACCTTGGAGTGGCTGGGGGCTGCGCTCACCCTGCCAGCCCCCTGAAAGCTGGCCACAGCTCCTGTTGGAAGAGCACTGGGATCTGGGATGTCTCAGTGCCTGGCAAGTCGCCTCCTCCTCCTGCAGCCTGGGAGATGCTGCGGTGTGCCAATAAAAACGTGAAATACTCGATTCCTTCAGGTGTTTTTATAGTGCACAGTGACTACAGTGCGTTAGCGTTCATTAGGGGTCAGGTTTTGTGTTACTGTAGGCAGACGCGACTTGATTTACGTGTCCGGCGTGACATTGCAATGGGGTCTGCTCTCCTTGAAAGCAGCCATGACCACTTGTAATTGATTTCAGTTTGGAAGTAAAACTCAGTCAACTCTTGTGGTGTGTTTAACGTCTTTCACAGCAGTGTGTGCATCCTGAGTGCTGGCAGATTTTCAGCTGAGGACACAAAAGGCGAGTAAAAAAAATTCAATGAAGCAAAATTTGAAAACAAATGCTGCTACCAAATCTTAGGTGTCCTGAAATTTAACGATGTCTTGCAGGATCTTGCAAACAGCAATTTAAGTTAACAGACAGCATAAGTTCTGGACAAAAATGTACTGTAGCTGCTCCAGCTATGTGATTCCTACAGACTGTTGGATTTCTTTCAGGAATGTGTCAAAGCTCGGAAAGCAATGTGGCTCAGTCTCATTGTGTACAGGAGATTATTTGATAATTGTTTAAGTTATGTAAAAGAGTTTATGATAGGTCCTATAAAAATAAAGCTACACAGTAGATCTAAGACCTGTGGTTCTTACTGCTGTTGAAATGCAGTGTTCCCGTGTTTTTCATTGCATGTCCATCCTCTCTAAGTGTTTCTTGGCAGCAGTTAAGACAGGCAGTGGTTATTGTCTTTCCTAAATCTTTTGAAACACTGTATTTTATCCACAGCGACCCGTGCTTGTTTTGCCTTCATTTGTAGCGACTGTTTCTTTAATTTACTAGAAAGAAGGGACTGATAATACCTTACTAAAGCCAGGGGATGAAAATTGTTACAGTTATAAAAACAGATCAAAATACTTGGAGGTTTCCTATTGAGATGCAAGTCTTAAAAGGCAATCCTGCAGCTTGGCTCCCTGCCAGTCCCAAGCTGATTGTTTGTTTTTGAAACGGGATTCACATATGGATAAGCCTGAGTTTTACCCTTGGTGGTGATAAATCCATGTGCCTTCTATCTTTACAAGACGTGAAAGGTAAAGCTTTTTTTTTTTTTAATTATTATTATTTTTTATTTTTTTTTTATTCATTCATCAAGCCAGATTTAAGAGACTTAGGCTCAAGAAGTTGAGATATACAGAGAAGTGAAACAAGATATGGAAATAAACCTTGAGATAATTTGTATCTGAAATTGCCTTAATTTTACTTTTTAATAGCAAGAACTGTAATGTACGTGTAACTTACACCATTTCTTTCCTTCCCAAAAGTTGCCCAAGATCTGTACAAGCTTTATGGAAAGGAACCATGATGGATGAACAGCCATGATACTCCAGCATCCATTATCTGGACTGAGCCCAGCTGTGTGCTGTTAAGGAAACACACTTTTCAAGTATAATTCTGCAGTAGTTTATTTAACTAAGCTTCATGAGAGCATGTATGAGGAACAATGGGCAGCCAGTCCAGCCAAGGTAGCTACAAATTAGGTTAATCCTGCCCCGCTGCTGTTTTGGTTGACTGGACAATGTTGTACCCCATGGATTCCATCCCGCTGTCTTCCGTCCTTGGCAGATCTCCCAGGGAAGAGAGTGCGAGTTTGCATTTGTGATCAGCATGCTGCCAGGTCCAAACATAGCTTATGTATAACTACATCTTAGATTGTCCAGAAAGACTTACTGGGAGGGTATTTTGGTTGGAGAGTTTTTTTTTTTTTCTCATCACTGCAAGTATGAATTTGTAGCACATATTAGCAGGAGCTGTTGGGAGTATTGTGGCTTGATGGTGTTTGCTAACAGACCTTACTGTTCAGCTTTCTCACCTGAGCTGTGCATATCAGATCTGTGCTTGCAGGAGGCCAAGCAGATGAAGGGGAAGTTTATAATGCAATGTTCTGTCAAGGGAAAAATAACGCCTTTTTTCATTTAGGGTTTCACCAAGCAATGTATTCATTTCACAAGCTCAGCGTGCAAATAGGTCTCAGTCAGGGACCTAGTCCTGAAAACCTTACAGTCATCCGAATCTCTCAGCTGTTTCACAGACTTCAGTGGGACTTCGCTTGAAAAAAAGTCTCAAATTGATCTTCAGGAATAGACTCAGGGATATGCTAGGTAGACTCTGCAAACCTGAATAGCGTGGTTCCCCACAAGTCCCACCCTTTTATTTTAGGTAGCTGTAAAGTAGCACAAATCTGATCTGCCAGTGTTTCTCACTTGTTGGGTGCTCTGCTCCCTTGTAGATGGTGTTCAGGGATGCTCAGGAGCACGGCATCAGTCTTCTTGGGTTCAATTTTGTCTCAGACAAGAGGGAGAAGCAGTTCTGTGGGTGTCAGTAGAGCTGAGCTGGTGTAAAACCAGTGTGGCAGCCTGCTCCATCTGCTGCCCAGATCAGAGCAGTTCTTCTTGATGGACTTGCCAGAAGTTGGGGCATCTCCAGGAACCAGCCTGACTGAGCAGCAGCTGCAGATATTGCTTCAGCTTAGCCTGTGTCCTGTAATAGTTCATTAAACGGGGTTTTCAGTTTATAGGTGCTTACACTGGAAAAATATAAAATAAATAATAATAACAAATAGCATTGTTAAACCTTGCAGTACTGCTGCATTCTGCTAGAGGATGTATTTGAGGAGTAAGTGGTGAGGGAAGCTCAGGGAAGGAGCTCACAATGGCTGGGCTGCTCCCACAGCTTTTCCCACAGCACAGGCCAAACAAAAGACTTCTGTGCAACTCCTGAGAGGTGCTGGAGCTCCTCTCTGTGCTGCAGAGGAGGCGAGGGAACCCTTACCAGACCCAGGGTTGCCATCTAGCGGAACTGCAGCTTTTTTGTGCATGTGGGAGCTTTTTTTTTTTTTTTTCTCCCAGTTTGAATAGTGCGGGCACAGAAAATGTCACATAGGAGTCTCACTTGTAAATGCCCTTGGGAAATAGCGTTCTGTATTTTTTTAAGCACCTGTAAGAATAAAACCTTTTGGAATTGAGCGGGATAATTTGGTTTATCTGGTGCACTTTTCCAAGGAGTCTGTCCCTAAGAATGAAATCTTGTCATATTTAATTATTTTTGTCTTAAAATAAGTTTGTTCTTTGAAATTGGGTTTTGGTTTGTCAGATCAAGTTCAGACTATTGCAATATTTAATTCTACAAAGTTTTCACTGAGTTTCTCAGATATTCTAAATACAATTTTGTTGCTGGTGAATTTTACACATATTACCTGCTTTTACTGCATTTTTTTTTTTTTGGTGGGAAAATGAAAATGTACACATCTTAATAACTTCCTATGCAGTCAAGATGATAAAAGCAGAATAAAAAGAGTGCTTTTCTCTCTTTTAAAATGAGGGAATCACACCTTTCTTGAATGGTGTTTTATTGACAAATAGCAAAGGGTTCACAATGAATGGCTATTGCTGCATCTCACTATTTTGTGACTTAAACAGTTTGTACCCCTTCAAGAAAACTGAAATATTCTCTCATTTTCTTGGATGGACTTTTGAAACTGGCTTACTAACCTGCTAAGAACCTGAGCTTGGGGTTGTTCTAATACAGTCTGACCCCGATAATAAGAAGTCATCTTTGATGAGCTTATGTAGTTGTTCAAACAATGTTAGTAAAGATACAGAAGTTTATTGTAAAGTTTGTTTGCGTTATGACTTTGTGAATAAACTGCTTTTGTCAACAGTGCAAAAACTGAAGGTAATTCTGCAGACATGCAAGCAACAAAGGTGGCAACATGAGTTGTTCAAGCCTACAAGCCTGACTATCTGAAACAGGAATTTGGAATGTCTTTAGGTTTACTCAAGAGACTACAGCTTACCTTCTCTACAAATAACTCATCTCTATTTTTTTTTTTTGAAGATTGGTAAATGCTTATTTAAAATCCAATGTTATTTGTAATGCATTTATGTAAGAGCAAAAAAAAAAAAAAAAAAAAAAAAAAAAAAAAAAAAAAAGACGTATGTTATAAGCAGTGATCCCTTCCAAAATCTGTGTGGGTAAACACTGACAGATCATTACTAAAAGGTGAGGGGAGAACTTTTATTTCCAATTTTGTTATGTTTTTTAATACCTCACTGTAACTTTGATTATCCTTGATGACTCCCCTCCCTCGCTGTCAGAGAAGTATTCCACTAGACTGTGGGGTTTTAGCCTTTTATGTGTTTTAGATCCCTTCCTATAAAAGGAAATGTATTGTCAAAGCCTTATCTTTCTTGGTTGTTTTGGCTGTAGCCCACAGACTCATGTCTGTCTGTATATCATAGCTCCATCACTAAGAACATTTCAATTGCTTTTTAATTGCATTTTTCATTGCTTGAATTGGCAAATGCAGGACTTAAGGAACATGCAGCTCTTCTCCTAAACAACCCTTCACTAGTCCTTTTCTGAGATGGGGGAAATCATGTCTGATTATGAAATCTCTGTGATCCCCTCAAAGGCAGCTACAACTACACAATTTACCCTGTGCTCTCTTCAAAGGCAGATACAATTAAATACTTTACCCTGTGTGCTCCTCCTGTTCTGGTATCCCTGGGACATAAAATGTGGATTGGACTGTAATAAGAGAGGGAAGAAGGACAGGATTCCATCTTGGTTCTGAAGTGCTCTGATGTTCCTGTTAGTGCATGTTTTGTGTGTCAGGATGTCTCCTGTTGGGCATTTCAGACTGTTCTAGCCTTTGCAGCTAATTGTTGATCAGTCTGTGGGCTCTGAACAAATTCTGACAAATGCTGCTGTGGCAGATAACTGAGCGCATTTGCTATACCACCTCTTTGCCATAGAATCATAGAAACACAAGGTTGGAAAGGACCTACAAGATCATCTAGTCCAACCATCCTCCTATCACCAATAATACCCACTAAGCTACTAAATCATATCTCATAGCAGCTCATCCAGGTGTTCTTGAACACTGTGAGGGATGGTGACTCCACCACCTCCCTGGGCAGGCCATTCCAGTGCCCGACCAATCTTTGAGAGAAAAAAGTTTTTCCTGATATCTAATCTAAATCTCCCCAGGTGCAACTTGTGGTCATATTCTTGAGTCCTATCTTTAGTTATCTGGGAGAAGAGGTGGACCCCCTCCTCATTACAACCTCCCTTCAGGAAGTTGTAGAGTGCAAAGATGTCTCCCCTGAACCTGCTCTTCTCCAGACTAAACAATCCCAGCTCCCTCAGCTGCTCCTCATAAGACTTGTGCTCCAGACCCTTCATCAGTTTTGTTGCCCTTCTCTGGACATGCTCCAGGGCCTCGATATCTCTCTTGTTGTGAGGGGCCCAAAAATGAGCACAGTACTCGGTGTGGCCTCTTCAAAGCTGAGTACTGGGGGATGATCACCTCCCTGGTCCTGGTGGCTACGCTATTTCTAATACAGGCCAGGATGCCATTGGCCATCTTGGCCACCTGGGCACATTGCTGGCTCATGTTCAGCTGAGCATTGATCAACACTCCCAGGTCCTTTTCCTCTTCATAGTCTTCTAGCCAATCTGCCCCAAGCCCATAGCGTTGCATGGGGTTATTGTGGCCAAAGTGCAGGACCTGGCACTTGGCCTTGTTGAACGTCATCCCATTCACCTCAGCCCAGCAGTCCAGCCTATCCAGATCCCTCTGAAGGGCCAACGCTTAGGCAGATTGAC